TAACGTTGCAATCCATCGCGCGGGTTTTTATAAGGATACTATTTTGTTTTCTCACGATCAGTCGGTTGATTGGTCACTGAACTTCCACCCTTTTGTTCTGCTTCCCTAGGCCATTTCGGAGATTGACAAGGTTGCCTTCTTATTTTAAAAAAATTATTCCCCTTATTCTCCCTGTTTTTAATATAAGGCCCAGAATATTACGAATACAAAGCGTGACATACTTTAACCACTCATTTGGCAACCCAAACCGACATCTAATTTCGTCTCAATTGTAAAATCTAAACCCTAAACTCTAACCGATATCTAATTTAGTTTTAATTATAAAATCTAAACCCTATCCACTTATTTGGCAACCCAAACCGACATCTAATTTCGTGTTAATTGTAAAATCTAAACCCTAAACCTTAAATCCTAAACCCTAAACCCTAAACCTTAAACCCTAAATCTATTTTGTGATTTCTTTTTTTTTTTAATTGTGTTTCTTTTTTTTAATTCTCTAATATTAATAATGACATGACAAAACGATTGGCTATAATCTGTTGGGTGAATTTAAAGGTTCACCCCAGGGGTAAACCTAAGTATGGTTCGTCATTTTGTGCATATTCATTTTAATTCTAACAATTTTTTAGATTGATTTCTTTTTTGGTAATAAACTATTTTTTAGATTAATCCATTGAGTGACTTGTAGAAACTATTTTTATGTTTATATAGTTAATATTAAAATATTAAATAAATCTATAACTATTTTCTGTAGTCAATAATCAAATCAGTTTTGCACATTTAGCACGTTGTCTTTCTATGAAAGTAACATTGTTTCATTCGTGTACTTTCTAGATTGGAAAATAATCCGGTTTTGGAAAGAGAATCATAAAATTTAAAATGCGAGCGCCTAAACATTATGGAATTAATTAATTTTAAAATTATATATTATACGTGAAATAAAATGAAAATAAAAAATAGTTATATTTAAGCAAGATAATATTAATAAACAATAACTAATTATGTTAGAAAAATAATACCATAAATATCAGTACCCAGTAAAAGTAAAAACAATGTAAATAGAAAAATTGAAATTTGTCTTGATTCGGAAGGATTCTTTTCAGACATCAGATAGACCCAAGAAGTTGCCTGATCGACTTATTATTTCTGAGTAAAATAGTTAAAATTTAAAAGAAAAAGAAAAGAAAAAACCAGAAAGGCATATTCTTTTATATTATCTCTATAGAGAGAGTAAAACAAATTAATTAGTACTTATCTCTCTCCTCATTTCAGCTTCATCGTTCTTCTCTTTCTCTCTGTAGTAGTCTCTCTCTCTCTCCACCACGTACACAGTAACACAGAGACCTTTTTCCTCTTGCTCAAGGTTCTTCTTTGTCATCTTGTTGCCGAATCCACAAAGAGGTACGCTTTCTTCTCTCAAATCTCCCTTCTTTTGTAATTCTTACTCTCTTTTCTTCTCATCTTCTTTAGTGCTCTGTTTTTGGTTTTGGTGATTGATCAGGAATAAAGAAAGATTCGACCTTTATTAGATATTACCGACTCTGGTTTTTTGGATCCCATGGGTTCTTATCCGGATGGATCCATGGACGAGTTCGATTTCAATAAGGACTTTGATTTGCCTCCCCCAAACCAAACCTTAGGTTTAGCTAATGGATTCTATCTAGATGACTTAGATTTCACATCCTTGGATCCTCCAGAGGCATATCCCTCCCAGAACTACAACAACAACGAAGCTGCATCAGGAGATCTGTTATCATCTCCATCTGATGACGCTGATTTCTCTGATTCGGTTTTGAAGTATATAAGCCAAGTTCTTATGGAAGAGGACATGGAAGAGAAGCCTTGTATGTTTCACGACGCCTTGGCTCTTCAAGCTGCTGAGAAATCTCTCTATGAGGCTCTCGGTGAGAAATACCCTTCTTCTTCTTCTGGTTCTGTGGACCATCCTGAGAGATTGGCTACTGATAGCCCTGACGGTTCTTGTTCAGGTGGTGCTTTTAGTGATTACGCTAGCACCACTACCACTACTTCTTCTGATTCACACTGGAGTGTTGATGGTTTGGAGAATAGACCTTCCTGGTTACATACACCTATGCCGAGTAATTTTGTTTTCCAGTCCACTTCTAGGTCCAACAGTGTCACCGGTGGTGGTGGTAATACTGCGGTTTACGGTTCAGGTTTTGGCGGTGATTTGGTTTCGAATATGTTTAATGATAGTGAATTGGCTATGCAGTTCAAGAGAGGGGTGGAGGAAGCTAGTAAGTTCCTTCCTAAATCTTCTCAGCTCTTTATTGATGTGGATAGTTACATCCCTAAGAATTCGGGTTCCAAGGAAAATGGTTCTGAGGTTTTTGTTAAGATGGAGAAGAAAGATGAGACAGAGCATCATCATAGCTCTGCTCCTCCTCCCAACAGATTGACTGGAAAGAAAAGCCATTGGCGCGACGAAGATGAAGATTTCGTCGAAGAAAGAAGTAACAAGCAATCAGCTGTTTATGTTGAGGAAAGCGAGCTTTCTGAAATGTTTGATAAGATCTTGGTATGTGGCCCTGGGAAACCCGTATGCATTCTTAACCAGAAGTTTCCAACAGAACCCGCCAAAGTCGAGACCACACAATCAAATGGAGCAAAGATTCGTGGGAAGAAATCAACTACTAGTAATCATAGTAATGACTCTAAGAAAGAAACTGCTGATTTGAGGACTCTTTTGGTGTTATGTGCACAAGCTGTATCAGTGGATGATCGTAGAACCGCCAATGAAATGCTAAGACAGATACGGGAGCATTCTTCGCCTCTAGGCAATGGGTCAGAGCGATTGGCTCATTATTTTGCAAATAGTCTTGAAGCACGCTTAGCTGGGACTGGTACACAGATCTACACCGCTTTATCTTCGAAGAAAACATCTGCAGCAGACATGTTGAAAGCTTACCAGACATACATGTCGGTCTGTCCGTTCAAGAAAGCTGCTATCATATTTGCTAACCACAGCATGATGCGTTTCACTGCAAACGCCAACACGATCCACATAATAGATTTCGGGATATCTTACGGTTTTCAGTGGCCTGCTCTGATTCATCGCCTCTCGCTCAGACCTGGTGGTTCGCCTAAGCTTCGAATTACTGGCATAGAGCTTCCTCAGCGTGGTTTTAGACCAGCGGAAGGAGTCCAGGAGACGGGTCATCGCTTGGCTCGATACTGTCAGCGACACAATGTTCCGTTTGAGTACAACGCAATTGCTCAGAAATGGGAAACGATCAAAGTCGAAGACTTAAAGCTTCGACAAGGAGAGTATGTGGTTGTAAACTCTTTATTCCGTTTCAGGAACCTTCTAGACGAGACCGTTCTGGTAAACAGCCCGAGAGATGCGGTTTTGAAACTGATAAGAAAAGTAAACCCGAATGTCTTCATCCCGGCGATCCTAAGCGGGAATTACAACGCGCCATTCTTTGTCACGAGGTTCAGAGAAGCGTTGTTTCATTACTCGGCTGTGTTTGATATGTGTGACTCGAAGCTAGCGAGGGAAGACGAGATGAGGCTGATGTATGAGAAAGAGTTTTATGGGAGAGAGATTATTAATGTTGTGGCTTGTGAAGGAACGGAGAGAGTGGAGAGACCAGAGACATATAAGCAGTGGCAGGCGAGACTGATCCGAGCCGGATTTAGACAGCTTCCGCTTGAGAAGGAACTGATGCAGAATCTGAAGTTGAAAATCGAAAACGGGTATGATAAAAACTTCGATGTTGATCAAAACAGTAACTGGTTGCTTCAAGGTTGGAAAGGTAGAATCGTGTATGCTTCATCTGTTTGGGTTCCTTCGTCTTCATAGATGTTCTTTCTTGCGACCTACGCGACTGGGTTTTATGTAGGGCTTTTCTCTTTAGAGTCTCTCTCTCTCGCCAACACGAGTGGATTAAGTTCAGAGTTAGGGTTCTTGAACACTAGAGTGTTGTTATATTATGCTTTGTGACATAGCGTGTGTAAGAGTATAGCCTAAGAGAGATAGTACTCACTGCATGATCTTTTGCTATATGTTCATGTAATCTTTTGTTGCATAAATAATGAAAAGTTACATTTTTTTAATGTCTTGTTTATAAAGTTCTATTGCTGATTCAGCCTCGCAGAGTGTGACATCGTTCGTAACATGTAATTTTACAAGATTCTCCCAATTCATCTCGTATTATATAAATTAATAATGTTGGGACTACAACATTTTATTAATTTATAGGGTAAATTAATATTTATTTATTTATAGAAGTATTTATGAAAAAATGATATTTCAAAGACAATAAATGAATTTTTTAAATATTATACATAAATTAAAATTTATGACTAATGATATCAATTTTTGTATTTAAATCGTTTTATACGATTATCAAAATGAAAATGATGTATATTCAGAATTTGAAAATTTATTAAAAAAAATCGTCTATTTTATGAAATATTTTTATAGACAATGATAAAATAAAAAAGTTTAAAAACACAACATAACATTTTTTATATCAAAAAGTTAGTGATCAGTTAATTTTATGAAAAATTCATTTAAAAACACTTAACCAATACCATATATTGATATATTTTTTCACGTATAATATATATATATATATATATATATATATGTAAATTTACATAGATTATTAATTTATGATATTATTGGGACCATATTTTTACATAGGAGTTTCAAAAAAGTTATTATCTTATTATCTTATCGAATTTCGTCAATTTTTACACTGGTCCGACTCGGGACCAGCAATATTTATTAATTTATAGTGATTATTAATTTATAGAATATTAATTTATAGAGGTTTTAGTGTACCAAGAATAAAAAAAAAATCATGAAAAAGTAGATAATCATGTATTAGGACGACATGATCAGAAATATAGAAACAAACAATAATTTCAATATTTCATGATCAGTATTCAGTAGTATTACATCACTTTAGCTAAAGTCTTACAATTATTGATTGAACAACAAACAATATTTTCAAAATCAAAGAAATAATCAATCCAATAAACTTTCCTAACTATTACATCCAGGATTTGTTTATAACGCCGAAAGAGTTGAATATTTATTTGGAGACCGAAAAATTATAGTTACTCAAAAACGTGACACCCACTCAATTTCGAGTTTTTCTGACATAATAAAGTATTTTCATGTTACTAGTACAAATAATAAATGGTGAGAATCTCACAATATATATGTCAGAATGACATTGTGCGATCAGATCTGGAGGGGTCCTTTTCACTTTTTTTTTTTTTGTGTTTATTTACTGTCGTTGTTCTATATAATAATTATACTACTATGAAAGTATGAAGTCACTTTTATGTTTTCATTTTTCGTTTGTTTGTTGATATAGTATTCATCAGCAACTTTTTTTTTTTAATATTTCGTACTGGTCAAATAATCAAATCCACCTATCAGGAACCTTTGTTAATCTTGCTCTCCAAGTTTTTACATGTGACACTCTTTTGTTTTGTCAACTTGAAACTTTAGAATCAATATATTATTTTATTATGTGAACACTTTTGACTTTACATCAAAATAATAATCATAAAACAGGAGTTGATCAAGTACACACATACATAATTTTGATATATACACCATCTAAAGTGGCCGGAATATGTAACTTAGAAATTTGTATTAGTATATTTTAGAATCCAAGATTGTACATATGGAAATTAATATATACAGTTTGTACGGTTTGACCGCATCTATTATTAACAAAAATGTCTTAACATATCCCAGATGAGAATCATCATCTCGTGCTATTTATAAAATACTGTTACAAATTTTAAAATGAGAAGTACTTTCTTTTGTTGTTGTTGTTTATAAAGAAAAATAAAGATCCTAGTAAACTCGTCGACATATTCAATTTTGATTTTGGCAACTAGTTAGTTTCTTAAAGCACACAAAACTATAAGCTATCCAACAAACATATGGATCATGTAAGTTTCGAGAATCGGTCAACATATGGATTAGACAAAGTTAATGGGGGAATTAGGAGACAAATATCACTACTAAAAAGAACCACTAGTCATAAAAAAGAAGATTACTTTTTGTGGTTAACATGACGATCACTACTATAAAAAAAGCTGGGCCCAACAAGCCCAAGAATACAACTCTTAATGACAAGTCAAAAGAGAGATAGTTTTGACTCCTCGGACGAATCGCAAGACTGGTCTTGTCCCCTTTCGAGTTTCCCGGGAAACTTCCTCTTCCTCTAATCTCTCTACACTTCTCGATTTCTTGCTTCTTTTCTCACGCACAGCAATTATAGCCAAATCCCATTTGAATAGTATTATTCACCAAAAGTTATCTCTTTTTAACGAATTGATCGATAAAGTCCACACCTTTATGCCTCCTCCTACTTTTCCACTTAATCATCCCACTTCTTCTTCTTCTTCTTCAGATGTAAGCAATGTTGTCTCGAGTTCTCATCTGATTCAGATTTCGTTGCTGAATCTTTTGTAAAGTTTTCTTCTTCGAAAGAGGAACCAAATTCAGGGTTTTATAGGAAAAAAAGGAGTTTTTTTTTTTGGATGATGGAATCGAATTACTCAGGTGTGGTCAACGGTTTAGAGTATTACGATGTGAGCTTCTTACCAAATTCGATTCCTGATCTTGGATTCGGTGTTCCTTCGTCTAGTGATTTTGATCTCCGCATGGATCATCAACCGTCAATTTGGGTTCCAGATCAAGACCATCACTTTTCTCCTCCAGCTGATGAGATTGATTCTGAAAACACACTTTTGAAATATGTAAACCTTCTCCTTATGGAAGAGAGTCTCGCGGAGAAGCAATCTATGTTCTACGATTCCTTGGCTCTTCGACAAACCGAAGAAATGTTGCAGCAAGTCATCAGCGACTCGCAAACTCACTCTTTTATTCCTAATAATTCGATTTCTACTACTAGTACTAGTAGTAATAGTGGCGATTATTATAGGAGCAGTAGTAACAGCAGCAATTCTAGTGTACGCGTCGAAACAGCTGCTAATTCTGCTGAGAATGAAGTGTTGTTGTATGATAATCATCTTGGTGATTCTGGTGTTGTGTCGTTTCCAGGGTTTAACATGTTGCGTGGAGGCGAGCAATTCGGGCAGCCGGCTAATGAGATTCTTGTCAGGAGTATGTTTAGTGATGCAGAATCAGTTCTGCAGTTTAAGAGAGGGCTAGAGGAAGCTAGCAAGTTTCTTCCTAATACTGATCAATGGATCTTCAATCTTGAGCCTGAGATGGAGAGAGTTGTTCCGGTGAAAGAAGAGAAAGGATGGTCCGCTATCTCGAGAACTAGGAAGAATCATCACGAGCGGGAAGAAGAAGATGATCTAGAGGAAGCTAGGAGTAGTAAGCAATTTGCAGTGGATGAGGAAGATGGGAAATTGACAGAAATGTTTGATAAGGTTTTGCTTCTTGATGGTGAATATGATCCGCTGATTATCGAAGATGGCGAGAATGGTTCAAGCAAGGCTCAGGTTAAGAAAGGCCGGGGGAAAAAGAAGAGTCGAGCGGTTGATTTCCGCACACTTCTCACTCTATGCGCACAATCTGTTTCTGCAGGGGATAAGGTTACGGCTGATGATTTGCTGAGGCAGATAAGGAAGCAATGTTCACCTGTTGGTGATGCATCACAGAGACTAGCTCATTTCTTCGCCAATGCACTTGAGGCGCGTCTTGAAGGTAGCACGGGAACTGTGATCCAGAGTTATTACGATTCCATTTCCTCCAAGAAACGAACAGCTGCACAGATTCTTAAATCCTATAGTGTGTTCTTGTCTGCGTCTCCGTTTATGACTTTGATCTATTTCTTCTCCAACAAGATGATTTTTGATGCTGCCAAGGATGCTTCGGTTCTTCATATAATCGATTTCGGTATCCTTTACGGTTTCCAGTGGCCCATGTTTATACAGCACTTATCAAAGAGCAACACCGGACTACGGAAACTACGGATTACCGGTATCGAGATTCCTCAACACGGGCTTCGTCCAACCGAAAGAATACAGGATACAGGTCGAAGACTGACAGAGTATTGCAAACGGTTTGGAGTTCCATTCGAATACAATGCAATTGCCTCTAAGAATTGGGAAACAATCCGGATGGAGGAGTTCAAGATCCAACCAAACGAAGTTCTTGCGGTTAATGCTGCGCTCCGATTCAAGAACCTTCGAGACGTTATTCCAGGCGAAGAGGATTGCCCGAGGGACGGATTTCTAAAACTGATCAGAGACATGAACCCTAACGTCTTCCTCAGTTCGACAGTTAACGGATCTTTCAACGCTCCGTTCTTCACCACACGGTTCAAAGAAGCTCTGTTTCACTACTCGGCGCTCTTTGACTTGTTTGGTGCGACTCTGTCCAAAGAAAACCCGGAGAGGATACATTTCGAAGGGGAGTTTTACGGGAGAGAAGTGATGAATGTGATAGCGTGTGAAGGAGTAGATAGAGTGGAGAGACCGGAGACTTACAAGCAATGGCAAGTGAGGATGATTAGGGCTGGATTTAAACAGAAGCCTGTGGAGGCAGAGCTTGTGCAGTTGTTTAGGGAAAAGATGAAGAAATGGGGTTATCATAAAGACTTTGTCCTTGATGAAGATAGTAATTGGTTCTTACAAGGTTGGAAAGGTCGCATCCTCTTCTCTTCTTCTTGTTGGGTCCCTTCTTAGCTTTTGTGTTCATTACAGATTTCCCATGTAAATCCCAAGTTCTGTTTTATTTTTGTTCTAGAGGCAGAGCTTGTGGAGTCATTGATGTATCTTTTGTTTGCTGTACTTGATTTTCTTTACTTTTGCTGTATACAATGACATTCTACTTTGTTGAAAGCTAAATACTTTACAGAGAACAAAAAGAGCTAACTAAATCTTTGGTAGGGGAACAACACTTTAACCAAAACTAATTTGGTTTTGTATGTCTAGGTAATTTGTTTTTTCAAGTGTCTAAGTCTAAATGTTGGAAAAAATATTATATATCAAGTAAAAATGATACTTTTCCAGAAAGAACAATCCCTCCGTGCTAATACAGAAGCGTGTTTTGTTATTGCCTTGGATTAAATGTACAATGAGTAGAGTAGTAAACTTTGGGCGTCTCCAACATCTAAGTCGGAACCACCTGTGGCTCAAGCGGTGGAACTCCACCATCTTCCACAGGCTTCACCGGCACAGACTCCTTCTCGCTCTCCTTCTCCGTCTCTTCAAATCCAGATTTAAACCTGTCGTAATTCGTTCTCTCACCCGACTTAAAGGGACGCTCACCCAAAACTTTAGTAAGATCATCCTGATGCAGAACCTCCTTCTCTAGCAAGAGCTCAGCGATCTGAGCCACTTGCTCTTTGTGTTCCTCGATCAGCTCAACCGTCCGCTTGTAAGCTTTCCCCACCCATTCTCGGACCTCTTCGTCTATCATCGCACCGGTTCTGTTGCTGTACGGCTTGGAGAACTCGTCTTCCCGTTGCGGGAACGAAAGCAATCCTATCTTGTCGCTGAATCCGTACACCGCCACTTGCGCGTAAGTCATCTTAGTCACCTTTTCCAGATCGTTCTGAGCCCCGGTCGATATTCTTCCTATTAATACCTGCAATCAAGACCCACCAAAAAGAACAGGATTCACATCTTAAAAACAAATAACAGAAAGTTTATGACCTGAAACCGTAATGAGTTCTTGACTTCTGTAAGAGGAAACAACTCAACAAACTCTCATCTCTGTCTACCAACCAAGTAGCATATATCCTTTCTATGTCCTAATTTATGGTTTCAATTTCTTTATTTCATTTTCCTAGAGTCCTTTGCTTTACATTTTCATATAAGGATGTTAGAGAAAGCTTTATAGGGTTTACCAGTTTCCAACAATAGGCAAAGCTTTGGGCTTTGTCTAATGATTTTACGTTTTGGGTTGGTTTGGTTCTTTTGCAACTGTCTGGGGTTTTATCACTCTAACACTTTCAGTAACCAAACGAAGTTAAAGTTGATAGAAAGATTTACCTGTTCAGCTGCCCGGCCCCCGAGAGTCATACAGGTCATGTCAAAGAGTTGTTCTTTTGTCATGAGCAAGTTTTCATTTGGAACATACTGGGCAAACCCGAGTGCTGCTGTGCCACGAGGAACAATAGTCACCTTGAGCAATGGTTCCGCATGTTCCAGGAACCATCCAGCAACCGCGTGGCCAGATTCATGATATGCAACTGTACGGCGCTCCAGCTTGCTTATTACCTGCGGTCATGGAGAAACCACCAAAAAAGATTGTTAGAAATTTCAGGTTTGGGAAGAAAAAAAGATGCAAATCTTTGGCTGATAATGATACGTCACCAATTTGTTGGGTTTCAATTTTTGAGATCTATCCTACATTCCTATGGAGGAGGAGGTTCCAATATTGCCAAAAATGAACAAATCAAATAATATAAAAAACTGGCTATAAGCCAAACAGTTGAATTTGTTGACAAGGCGAAAGCACATACCCGGTTTTTCTTCTCCAGACCTCCAATAACACGATCGATTGCAGAGTCAAAGTGCGCCATTGTAACTGTTGCTCCTTCATGTCTGGCAGCAATAAGAGCCGCCTCGTTACAGACATTGGCAATGTCAGCTCCAGCAAATCCGGGTGTGAGGGCTGCAAGCCTTTGCGAGTAATATGAGGGCTCGTGATCAAGTTTGATCTTCTTCAGGTATATCTGGAATATCTGATCACGGCCTTTAATATCAGGTTTATCTATGGTTATCTGACGATCAAACCGGCCAGGCCGTAGTAAAGCTTTATCAAGAATATCTGGCCTGTTAGTCCCAGCAAGGACGACAACTCCAGCAGTAGTACCAAATCCATCCATTTCAACTAGCAGCTGATTAAGTGTGCTTTCACGCTCATCATTTCCACCAGAGAAGCCTCCACGTCCTCTCGCTCGGCCAATCGCATCGATTTCATCAATAAATATTATGCTAGGTGCACATTGTCTAGCCTCTTGAAACAAGTTTCTCACTCTGGAAGGTCCAACACCAACAAACATCTCCATGAAATCTGAACCAGATATCGACAGAAACGGTACAGCTGATTCTCCTGCAGTAGCTTTTGCTAGAAGGGTCTTTCCGGTCCCTGGTGGGCCAACTAAGAGTGCACCTTTTGGGATTTTAGCTCCCAAATCTTCATATTTCTTTGGGTTCTGAAGGAAATGCACAAATTCCATAATTTCTTGTTTAGCCTCTTCGCATCCCGCAACATCTTTAAAATATATCTGGCAAAAACCAAAAAAGATCAGTTGTAAATCCCAATAGCATCATGAATGGGACATGAGGGTGGTACTTCTACTTCTCCACCCTGATTGAAATGCTAACCTTATTCTTGGAATTTTTATCTGCTCTCGTAATTTGAGCTTTCCCTATATTGAAAATTCCACGGCCACCCTTCCCACCAGGTCCGCCTACACCTCCCAGTCCACCTTGCATACGTCTTGCCCCATAAATTAGCGTGCCCAAGAGAAGTAAAGTCGGTGCAAACCTCAACATTTCCTGGTACCAGATCATTTCCGAGACGTAGGTGACAGGAACAAAGTCATGAGAATTAACGCCTATCGCTTCTTGAGCCTCTTCGAGTTTCTCCTCAAATGTTTCAACGCTACCAATATTAAAGTAGTACTTATACTGACCACCACGTCCTTTAGCAGGAACTCCATTACCAGGATCTTGAACAACTTCTTCCGTAGTTTGGTTTTTTGGTGAACTCCTCACATAGACTTTCGCGACTGATTTGTTAGAAACATCTATGTGATCAACTAGACCAGGCTCAAGGAGTTTGTTTTTGAACTCCTGGAAACTAATCTGAACCAACAGATATAACACCGAAAATCAGTTTACATATCACATGCCCACGTCTGCAGTTCTATAGATAACATGATACAGATGATTAAATACAAGATAAACAGAGTTTAGTTAAACATGCTTGCCTGTTGCTGTTCTCGGGAACCAAGAGAGAAAGTAGAAAGGATTAAAGCGATGGCCATCAGAGGAATTAACATATTTTGAGATTCCTTGGTGAACATGTCCCCAACATTCTCGTTTTCATTCTTCTTTGAACCCTCTGCATTAAATACATATTCAATTACTACAAACTTCAAACAAAGTTTCACAATCCTTTCAAAAGGAAAAGTTGTCAACAATCCTATAATTTTCAATGATTCCCGAAACTCCCAAAAGTATCAACTATTCTACTCAATTTTAGTTTGCATAACACCAAATGGATTCGACATCCAAAAGTAAGGGAATGTTACATAAACAGTCACCTCCGGATTGGGATTTCTGCTCATTCTTGGGTGCTTTCTTACTATCTTTTGGATAGTAGTTCTCATAATCTGCAAAAGAGATGCAATTTAGGGTTCCAATTATCTCTCAAATCAATATGAACCAACTAATTTGAATCCGTATAAAAATTTAGGGTTTTGAGAAATACTCCTTTTCTTCGGGCTTTGGCTAGAAAAGAACCGACGCAATCTAGGGTTAGCGAAAACGCGGCTCAAATCACCGGTATCTAGTCCCTTCCGAGCAGCTAAAGAAGCAAAGTGCCGCCTCAGAAACCCTAATCCACCATCCACTTGATTGACAGCCGCCTCAAGATTCTGCGGCGCTCGTAGCCTCCCTTGGTTTAAAATCGCCGATCGCACACCACCGCCGTACACCAATCCCTAATTTCACCGGAATATTCAAAAATTAGGAAATTAACACGCGTCTGGAAAAGAAAAAGCATCACAACGAAACGAACCTTAGAACGAGAGGATCGAGCGAGTGAAGAACCAAGCTTGGAGAATATCATTGTCAGAGAATCAGGACAATCAAAAGTGAGCTCGCATAATATAATAGAAACCGAAATAGGAGATCTAATCAAAACCCAGAGGAGAAAGATGGCAGCTTTGGCTTCAGATAGAGCAAATTCAGAAGTGAAAATGTGGTGATTGAAGAAAAAATCGAGAGCCCAGGACGAAATTTCTGATTTTTATTGAGTTTGTTGAGAGAGCAATTTATGTCACTTTTGAGCTAGCTGCTTGGGAAACAAGACATCAACGCGTTTCAGACTGTTCCGTGGATTGTTTCAACCGGTTTAGTCTCCTCGCTTGGCTCAACTATAAAACCAGCCGGTTCTTGATTTTGCAAATCTCAATTCGGGCCCTTAATGGGCCGAGTGGGGTATATGTGGCAACTTTTCCCACCTGAATATAACAACGCTTTGGCACGTGGCAGTACGTTCCTCCACGTGTCTGTTTCTAGACCGCGAGTACTTAGCAACTTCCAGAACAAGCTAGCTACGCCACTTCCACAACTAGTGTAATAAAGAAGCAATCAAATTAAGTACTCTTCTTATTAGGAAAGTGCGAGAGAGAGGACAAAAATGGAGGAGAGTTATGACGGAGACACGGTGACCGTTGATGATGATTACCACATGGGATGCACGACGCCGACACGTGATGAATGTCGGATACCAGCATATCCGCCGTGTCCGCCTCCTGTGAGAAGGAAGAGATCGCTACTACCCTTTGGAAAGAAGAGGGAACCACCGAAGAAGGGATTTTTTCAGCCACCGGATCTAGACTTGTTCTTCTCGGTGGTGGCAGCCTCCAAACGGCAACCTAGTTGCGCTTAGATCATCCCGTTCCTTTGAATTGATTTTGTAAACGGCCGGTTCGGGTTTGAATGCGGTTATGTGTGTGTATATATGTGCACGCCATGGAAGGCTAGCTAGGCTTGACGATTTATATCAAGTGTTTCGGCTTTTTTTTTTTTTTTTATGATGTAGTCAACTAGTCATGTAGGATAGGCACAACAATGTTTGTATGGACTTTGTGTTGAACCAGTTTTGGTTTTGAACTTTTGATTTGTATTATTCCTTTCCTTTCCTTTTTTTTGCTGTCCGGTTGGAGAAATTAGAAGTTTTTTTTCTTTGTTTAATGTATAAATGGTCTGTCTTTGTATTATTTGTAGGCATGGATGCATTTTAAATTTTCATAACCGCTTTGTTTGTTTTATTTCTAATGATAAACTGAAAGCTGTAGATGTGGTTATATGGCATCAGTTATACCACAGCAAGGGATATATTCGTGAAGTTCTGGCTTAGTGTGCTATACAAATCTAATCTACGAACCAAGACTACTGTTTCAAAATGTTAATGATCAAAATCTCATATATAGCAAATTTTTGCGTACCATTCAGTCGAAAACACACTTATTTGTTGATTAATCTGTTAGAAGCCGGACGAAGAGTGCGACGGTCCATCATAATTCAATAATAGAAGGGGTCAAACATTTTTCTTGAATTATGGATGCCATGCCATAATCTTTTGACATTTTTTCCTATGAACAAATCTTTTTAAAGACATCTAGCTTCGAAACTTTGTCTGTCCCTTTTTTTTAAGTAAAGTTTTGAAATGTTGATTGTTTAACGGAAGAGAAAAACAAACAATACGCCCTAGAAGGCTAGAACCCTTGATAACCATGCACATAAATGCTTACAAATACGAAAATCCGTTTTAACATTATAATCCGACTCCCATAGTCATAATTAAACCAGCCAAACTCGGAATAATGGTCATTTAACCCTCATAAATCAAGCAATTCCGACACCAAAATCTACCATTCCTCCGAACATGAAACAATGTGTATCCATATATAAAACATGATTATCTGATTTATTTAGTTTGTTTTGGATTCAGTAAAAAAAAAAAAATCAAAGTTGGATCCTCTATGATTGGCATGGTGACGTAAACACCACAAATTAGACTCTGACTGATTTTAAAGGATGAACAAGCATGAAAGTTCACCAATTGAAAAGTGGTAGAACGTACGGCACAATGTTAATTATAAAGTGTAATTAATGGAGTGAGTTAATTTCGAGAAAGCCAGACTTTTTTTGAAAACAGAAGTGAAAAGAAAACAAGTGGAATATTATTAGACCAAAGCTGTCTACTCTTGGCCCCGATTTCGAATTATTTTCGTAAGAAACACTTTACCCGTCCCTCTCTGCTCCTTTCTCTCCAAACACTCCCAAATGACACTTTCTTACAAAAAGATATTAATGTTTTCAATTTTTTAAAAAATTAGACCACTGAATCATTATTTGGTTTGAGAGACAAGCCCGCGCCTTGATTTTAGACGTTTCTAGACAAATTAGAAACAATGTCTCTTGTTTTAACATCAACCACTATACCAATGAAAGATAATATATGTCTAAAACTTTCTTTCCTCTAACTAAAAGATGTAATTTGTCATTTACAAGTAGTTTTATTCAAGGCACAGTGTTTAAACGGGATACTTGTGTCCCCTCTTCTTTGAATTGGATCTTATATGTATTTAGCAGTAGGCATGATTCCAAAAACAATTATCTTGCATTTTGTGAAAAGCTTAACTCCTAAACCAAACAATTTTAGAAACAGTATTCCTCTACAAATTTCATTGTGACTCCTGTCCCACGATGTCAGTTTTATTGATACAATTTATTGGACTCTCTCACTCATGTGACGATTGATTTATATTAACAACGTCCTTGTATAAAACTAAAATATGCGATTACGGATTACCCACGTCTTACGGTCTATATACTGGATTATTTTAAAGCATATGTAATCAAATTAAAATATCAAATTCATAATACTGGTAAACAAAATATTCATAAAACAGTTTTTATCCCACACACTAATAATACCCTTGCTGACTGTCTTACAAAAAAGACACGATCACGCGATGTTATATTTTCTCATGTAAGCTCTGTAACTCCGGACTGGTTTTTTCTTTAAGAAAACAGTCTGATTTTAGCTTGAATGGATATATTTGCTGTAATATATATATATATATATATATATATATATATTATATTCATAAAACAGTAAGAAGGAAACCTAAAAAATTTGGTGAAAACTGATTAACATGATTATAACACGAAATTTAAAATTAAACTCAAGACCAATTAATATAGTAAAAAATAATGAATTATCGACACACAATTTTTCATATCCTTTTGTACATGACATGTAAACTATCAGTGGACAAATTTAAATACTGAATGAAATACTTCGCTTTTCTGTCATAAAAACAACTTTATTTTATACAGCCATTTGATCTTTTTTTTTTACTCATGTATCAATATTGTTTTAATTATGAGAAATTGTTTAAAATGCCCCTTTTTCAATATCTTTTTTCAAAAATGCCCCTTTTGAGAGTCTATTTTTAAGTTTGCCCTCTTTTAATTTTTAATTACCATTTTACCTTTATTTGAAACAAAATTAGGTCTACAAAATACAAAATATTTTTTGGCGGGAAAAGTGATTCCGCAATTTTCCAGCCAAAACACTTGTAAAAACCTTTAAAATACCTTGTAAAATTTTCCCGTAAAAATTTTTCCCGCCAAAAAAATTTTTTGCGGGAAAGTGATTCCGCATTTTTTTGGTGGTAATTTTTTGGCGGGAAAATTTACAAAGTATTTTAAAGGTTTTACGGCTATTTACAAGTGTCTTGTAAGGATCTACAGTGGATTCTAAAAGGGTTTACAAGGCGATAAAAGTCATCTAAAAAAGTATACCCAACACAAAAAGCTCTATGAAATACTTGTGAACCATTACACGTGTGAGATGAAATAAGAAAAGCTA